CTAAATTCACTAAAATCACATAGTAAAACATTAATGTATCAAACCATTTCACATACATTTTGTCCCTAGTGCTTTGTCCTGTGCTCTGCCTTCATTTTTACTGCCTTGAAACTGAGAAAAGTCCAAAAAGCGTCCCTTTAGGTTAAAAGCGGTTTTAGACCAGCTAGAGAACTGCGATAGTAAATTAGAACCACTTGCAGAATTGAGTGATAATGATTCGTGGGGAAATTCGTCATCAGACACTGAAAGCGATTTTGCGACTTTGCTCAGTGATGTGCGAACTTGGCGCTCTATTTCAAATTTAAGTGTTTTTGGTTTGATTATATTATTGAAGTATATTTTATTATTATATTATAATTTTTTATGATTATTTATTATATTATAATTTATGATTTCGTGTTTCAAATTTTAACATACCCGGGATGTTTACTAGACTCTTGTTCGGACAGATTTCAGTGAGTTATTCCTAAAAATTACAGGCCTAAAATAAAAAAAAAAACTACATATTTCCATGCAAAAAAATGTACCGCTTTGAGCACAGAAATATGGACATAAACAGACCGCTAGGGAGGCTACTGACTGTGTGTTGAGTTATTTTGAGGGGACAGCAAATTTACACTGTTATACAAGCTGTACACTAACTACTTTACATTGTAGCAAAGTGTCATTTCTTCAGTGTTGTCACATGAAAAGATATATTAAAATATTTACAAAAATGTGAGGGGTGTACTCACTTCTGTGAGATACTGTATATGCTCAGTGCTGACACACATAATCCTGTGTGATGGTCTTCACTTGCAGTCAAATCATGTAAAGTATGGCAATGATAGCACTGACAGTGGCAGATAATCACTGTGAGTTTAACAAAAATCCAGCACTGACAGACGGCAGCCACAGATAACAGTGACCTGTGGGTGAGGATATAATAAAACGCAGCCTCTCGCTGCTTGCAATTGGAAAGAGTCACCAGATGTATAGCGCTCGGCTGAGCAATCACAATCCAAGGGGTAAATTAAAATGTGGACACAACCTGGGCCAATAATATAAGCTCACCGTTCCAGATCACCGATGCCGATGGATTCCGATTGGCTGTATGATGCCGCTGGTCACACATTCCATGCAGAAATGAGTGTGAATAAGAATGCAGTGGCAGTCCCACTGTGTCGCAGCTGGTTGGTAAAGCCACATGGAGGTCTGAATGTCTGGGACACAGGCGTCACGACACTGTGATGTCAACGCATTTTGCCCACCGAGTCACGTGAGCTTATTCAGGATGCTGTGATCCACACAGCAAGGGCTTATATGGAGACCAATATGTAATTTACAGATTAACCCACAGGGTTATCAATTCCTTCATCCTCTGGGAACTGCCTGCATACTCTCGCCACATGAGGCTGGGCATTGTCGTGCACCAGGAGGAACCCAGGACCCACTGCATCAGTGTAGGTTCTGACAATGGGTCCAAGGATTTCATCCCGATACCTAATGGCAGTCAGGGTGCCATTGACTAGCCTGTAGAGCTCTGTACGTCCCTCTATGGATATGCCTCCTCAGACCATCACTGACCCACCACCAAAACGGTCATGCTGAACTATGCTACAGGCAGCATAACATTCTCCATGGCTTCTCCAGATCCTTTCATGTCTTTCACATGTGCTCAGGTGGACCTTTCTCTGGGGGCACTTGTGAGGTGGGCGTGGAGGAGCCAGGAGCGCCGCCAGGGGACCCAAGAAGGGGAGGATCGGAGCTGCTCTGTGCAAAACCATTACACAGAGCAGGCAAGTATAACATGTTTGGTATTTTAATTTAAAAAAAATCAAACCTTTACAAATACTTTAAAGGGGATTTATAACTTCTTTGCTTGTATACCGTATGTTTATATAAATCAGACTGCAAACGTACCTCATCCCTCATCTATCATATAAAAAAACATAAAAACAAAATGAGAAAGTGGACAACATCATATTGTTGTATAAAACATGTTTATTGAAACGTATCTTCCAAAATTTATCATAAAAACAGTATGTTGGCTAATCAGCCCAATATATCACAGCATTGTATATCATGACATCAAAGTACTCTAGAGATCGACGCATTTCACTTGTTTGCTTCCTCAGGACCCCATAGGAGTTGAAGACAAAAATGTCCAGTATCCTAGCTTGAAGATACATACAGTATGTGCATATATTTGCAACACATTAAGTAAAGTCTCATTTGGTTTTTATGGTTTTTTATATGTATACTGTATGTATTCATTATGTTATAACCACATTACACACACAGCCGAATGAGTCAGAGGAGAACCGTACTCCCTCTTACCTCTCTGCTCTGCACATACAGCACTGCCAGGATTTTCAGTTAGTCCGGAATGTGTAGAAAGTGAACAGCCAGTGCTGAGCTGCCCCCTTCAGAATCATGGGTATTAAAGTGAACCTTTCATCAGATATATTTTTCCATTGTAGCTCCATGCAACTTAAGTAATGTGAAAGTGACACACCTCTTCAGGAGATCACAGGACTTCCACTGCCAGTGCTTTCATCTGCTTTTCTCTCTCCAGAAGGACAGAGCATCTTTGTTCAGACTTCATCCAGGGTCACAATCTACTTCCTGCGCTGAGATGCCAGATCGAAGATTACACAATCATGTAAATGTTGGTTCCTGTGTATTTCTACACTCACCGGCCACTTTATTAGGTACACCTTTTCCATTGCTTGGTAACACAAATTGCTAATCAGCCAATCACATGGCAGCAACTCAATACACTTAGGCATCTAGACGTGGTTAAGATGACTTGCTGAAGTTCAAACCGAGCATCAGAAAGGGGATTTAAGTGACTTGGTTGTTGGTGCCAAACGGGCTGGGCAGAGTATTTAAAAAACTTCTGATCTGGGATTTTCACAAACAACCATCTCTAGGGTTTACAGAGAATGGTCCAAAAAAGAGAAATTATCCAGTGAGCGGCAGTGGACAAAAATGCCTTGTTGATGTCAGAGGAGAATGGGCTGACTGGTTGCTGCAACATTCAGGTGGTAGGGCCAGAATTTGGTGTAAACAACATGAAAGCATGGATCCATCCTGCCTTGTATCAAGGGTTCAGGCTGTTGGTGGGGTGTAATGGTGTGGGGGATATTTTTTCTTGGCACTAGCAAGGTGTACCTAATAAAGTGGCCGGTGAGTGTAGTTATGTTCACAAATGTCTGACACAGATCAGCCCTTGCTGCAGCCTCTCACCTCGTGACTTGAAAAATTAAGGAAATCATGTCTGCTCTTTTTTCCTGCTCTTATCCGCTACAAATGGGGTTTTACCTTTAAGTTGATAGTTCCACACAACGGCAGCACATATACAGAAAAGAGTGTGGAGACGGCTTGGAACAGGTCATGATCCAAAGCACGCAATGTCATCTGTAAAACATGGTGGAGGCAGTGTGATAGCATGGGCATGCATGGCTTCCAGTGGCACTGGGTAAATTGGTGTTTATTGATGATGTGACAGAAGACAAAAGCAGCTAGATGAATTCTGCATTGTTTAGAGAGATACTGTCAGCCCAGATTCAGCCAAATGCAGCAAAGTTGATTGGACAGCGCTTCACAATACAAGTGGACAATGATCCAAAACACACTGCAAAAGCAACCCAGGAGGATTTTGAAGGAAAAGAAGTGGAATATTCTGCAATGGCCGAGTCAATCACCTGATCTCAACCCAATTGAGCATGCATTTCACTTGCTGAAGGCAAAAACTAAAGGCAGAAAGACCCACAAAGAACAACTGAAGACAGCTGCAGTTAGAGCCTAGCAAAGCATCAGAAAAGAGGAAACCCAGTCTTTGGTAATGTCCATGGGTTCCAGACTTCAGGCAGTCATTGCCAGTAAAGGATTCTCAACAAAATATTAAAAATGAACATTTTATTTATGATTATATTAATTTGTCCAATTACATTTGAGCCCCTGAAAATGGAGGGACTGTGTATAAAAATGGTTGCGGTTCCTAAACATTGTAGTTGATATTTATGTTCAATCCCTTGAATTAAAGCTGAAACTCTGCACTTCAAATTAATTTGGATTGTTTTATTTTTAATTTATTCTGGTGGCATACAGAGCCAAAAGGTATGATAATTGTGCCTGTGTCCAAATATATATGGATCTCACTGTATATATATGTTTTTTTTCTTAACAACATTTTAAAGCGAAGCTCCACCCAAAATGGGAAGCTCCGCTTTAAGGACTGGTCCCCTGCTCCCCATTAAGGATTGTCACCTTTGGGGAGCGGGTAACTGAAATTGACAGGTACCCGTTCCCACTTTCTCTGTGATCGCGTAGGCTATCGGAAACAGACGTTGACCTCCCCCCTCCCTCCCCGTAGTCTTCTGGGACAAGACTGGTCCCAGAAGACTACGGGACCATTCTCATTGCATGCGCAGTGAACACCCGGCTATGAAGCTGCAAGCTGTCACAGTTGGGTGCCCACACTGAAGATGCTGACGCCAGGAACACAGGGCAGCCGGTGAAATGGGCTGCGGTGAGGAAACTGCGGGATCAACGGACAGGTAATTGTCCATTTTTTTAAAGTCAGCAGCTACAGTATTTGTAGCGGATTTATTTATTTTTTTATTTTCACTGGAACTCAGCTTTAATGCCAGCAAAGGTGTTTAAAATAATTTTAGCAGTTCATTTCTTTATTAAGATTTTTTTTTCAACAACAAGAACACACAAACACAAGAGCTGGTGAGTGTGGGTAGAATCAGACACATCCCATTCAGAGAAGAGAAGTCAGCTCCTTGGAGAATTCCCCAGTCATTAATGGCATAGCAGGGAGGGGTACGCATGCGCTCTGTCAGGCTGCTGGTCCCTTGTCCTGCCTCTACTGAACAGCAGGGGGAGCACTGTTTGCTGCATCCTCAGCATCGCATTACATCACCGTATCCAGCTCAGCCATCCTGCCCAGCATCTCCTCCACACTGGACCCCAACCTGCTGCTGCGCGCCCCACCAGCACCCCTGAGCATGGCAGAGAGCGAGGCAGAGACCCCCAGCACCCCTGTGGAGTTTGAAAGCAAATACTTTGAGTACAATGGAGTCCGGTTGCCCCCATTCTGCAGGGGGAAGATGGAGGAGATTGCTGACTTCCCAGTAAGGGAAAATGACATCTGGATTGTCACCTACCCCAAATCAGGTAAGTGCGAAAAGGGCATGATTGGCATGTGTTTGTATTGGTGCACAGGGAGGCAGATCTGCACTGGGAGCCTGCCTGCCATGGATGCACCAGTCCTCTCTAGGTGTCTGTCTGCAGGAGCTGCTTCTTGGAAACTTTAATTGCCTGGGATGATGTGATGGGATGAGATGACATGTGATGACATGAAATGAGATGGGATGACATGAGATGACATGTGATGTCATGCAATAAGATGTGATGTCATTCAATGAGAAGTGATGTCATGCAATGAGATGTGATGTATAATGAGGATGCAGAGGGCACACCATGGCCAGGGGGCACAGACAGAAGGGCACAGCTTCCATCATCAGTAGCCCTCTCCCCCCAGACAGAGACATCTTGGGCTTGCCATCCTGTGCACTGTAGACAGTTTATTAGAATTAACCATTCCAAGTCTCCAGGAGGTGGATGAGTCAGAGCTCAGTATGATGTCATTGTTTTCTCTCTCTCTCTTGTATCACTGATATACATTTCTGCATGTTCAGGATCCTACAAACCAACAAGATTCTGTCTTCTAAATATTGCAAAGATTTTTTTATTATTTTTTTTATAGATGATGACATCAATATATCACATTTGAATCAGCATGCATTTATTTTGCCTTTACTGCAGTTACTAAATATTTAAGAATTAGGCAAAATTCTTAGAATCCGCTTGGTTGGCGATACAGCGGATTTCCCTCTGCAGTCCCTTTGATTCACACATTTTCCATTCTTGGGCTTCCTTGGTTTGGTATAAATGGACTTTTTCTGGCATGTGTTTGTGAAGTATCTCTAAATTGGACCATGTAGGGCGGTGTTTATTTGCGTTTAGGCTAGGTTCAGATCTTTGCATGTCGGGACTGCATGCAAAATCACATGCCTTCCCAATACGCAGGGAAATGTGCAGCCCTTTAACAGATGCGCGACCGTTACTGGCATCCCACGCATCTGCAAACGCGTGTTTTTTCGTGCACACTAAACCACATGGATTTCGGTGCTGTGCATCTTGGAAAAGGGTCATGGACTTTTTTTCCACGTTTCTGGTGTGTAGGGCAGCCCATTGAAATGATTGGGCTGCTCTACCCCTAAACGCAACACGAAGTAACGCATGAAAAAATCCATGGAAACACACCCATGCTTGGTTGCACCTGCAGATGTGAACCAGTCTAATTGTTGCTTTTGGCATACTGTATATCACATTACATTTTGTCTTTGTAAGTGTAGCATGTCCCATTTTGCTGCATTATTACAGCTTTTATTATTCTGTACAGGTCAATGGGAATGCAGGGGGAACGCAGGCTGAACGCATTTCAAATGCATCTTAAATGCCAGCCCCCCGAGCTGAGCTGTGTGCTGTTTCTGAGGATGTCGACAATGTACACTCATCCACAAGGAAATGTATGTGTCTTAGGGAAAGCAGAGAAAAAGGTATCACTCCTTTTTCATCTGAGTGTAAATCTAGAAAGGTGTCCAGATAAACATATTAAAGGGATCATACATGTTTTGTCAGTTTACTTTTTATGGATTGTTGTTTTGAGAGCTTTGAACATTTAACTGATAGTAAAAAAATTTGTGTTTTGTTAGTGACGCTGAACTGCAGACAGATGAAAAAGACTCTGTAATCTTCAAAGTGATTGTAAAGGGAATCTTTTTTTAATAACAAACATGGTGTACTGAATTGCTCTTTGCAATGGTTTTGCACAGAGCAGCCCAAATCTTCCACTCTGGTCCCCCATTGGTGCTTCTGACTCCTCCCTTTTCTGAGTGATCCCAAAACAAGCTGCTTGCTATGGGAGCACTTATGGGCTCTTGCCTGAGCTGTGCTCTGTGTATCCATTGACACACAACACTGCTTGGCTCCCCCCCCCCCCACTTCCTCTTCACAGGCTGTGATTGACAGCAGCAGGAGCCAATGTCCATTGAGAGAGAGAGAGGATAAAGCAGCTGCCCTCAGAAACAGCACTGGACTGAGAGTGGGCTCAGGTATGTGTAAGTGGGGAGCTGGGGAGAAGCTGAAAACAGAAAGTTTTTTTTACCTTAAAGTGGTTGTCAACCTCAGACATGAAGAAAGCATATGCTTCTATAGTGTGTGCTATAGAGCACTAAGTGTAATTTCTTTCTGCTGCTTCAATCCTCTGTTATCTGCATGAGTTTTCCTGACACCAAGAGAAAAATGGTGACAAGGGAGGGATCTCCAGCAGAATGACAACCTCAGCTCTAATCTTGTGTGCTGTGTAAAGGGGGGAGTGTGTCCCTTCCCTCCAATCAGCTCTCAGAGCTCTCCGCACTGATGTAACTTCAGCTCCCTGCTTTTCAGAGCTGAGAGATCCTGTGTAAATTCTGCACTTGGAATGGATGTAGGGCAGTGATGGCGAACCTATGGCACGCGTGCCAGAGCTGGCACGCAGAGCCATCTCAGTGGGCATGCCAGGAAGAAGAGGATGATGAGCGCGCATGGACCGGCCATCCAGATCTCGTCCACACTGGATCCCCATCAAACTACATTTCCCACATGTCTCTGGGGCCAGGGTGGGCGTGGACGAGAGGAAACGGCTCCAATGCGGCTCTGGCACCAGGGGTGATGTACCCGGGGATGGGCGCGGAAGAGAGGAAGAGGCTCCCACACTGCTCCGGGGCCAGGGGCAACGTGTTCAGCGTGGATGGGAATGAGCTGCTGGGTTGGAAGCCACACCGACGCTGCCAGAGGTGAGATTGCTTGCAGTGTCATCCATCAGTGCCCAGCAGTGTCGCCTGTCAGTGCCCAGCAGTGTCGCCCATCAGTGCCGCCCATCAGTGCCATCCATCAATGATGCCCAGCAGTCCCATCCATCAGTGCCCAGCAGTGTCGCCTGTCAGTGCTGCCCAGCAGTGCCACCTGTCAGTGCTGCCCAGCCCAGTGCCACATGTCAGTGCCCAGCAGTATCGCCCATTAGTGCTGCCCATCAGTGCCACCCATCAATGATGCCCAGCAGTGTCATCCCTCAGTGCCCAGCAGTGTCACCCATCAGTGCCCAGCAGTGTCGCCTGTCAGTGCTGCCCAGCAGTGCCACCTGTCAGTGCCCAGCAGTGTCGCCCATCAGTGCTGCCCATCAGTGCCACCCATCAATGATGCCCAGCAGTGTCATCCATCAGTGCCCAGCAGTGTCACCCATCAGTGCCCAGCAGTGTCGCCTGTCAGCGCTGCCCAGCAGTGCCACCTGTCAGTGCTGCCCAGCAGTGCCACCCATCAATGATGCCCAGCAGTGCCACCGATCAGTGCCGTCTGTCAATGCGTCCAGGTAGGCAAGTGGTTAATTGCAGTGTTGGCACTTTGAAATAAAAAAGTTGGTTTGTGTTGCAGTTTTGGGCACTCGGGCTCAAAAAGGTTCGCCATCACTGATGTAGGGGAAAGACGACTAAATAAACAGGTACAACTTACGTAGAAGGATTTGTTTAATCTCTGTGTATCACCTGAGGCCAGTCACTTTGCTGGGTATATGTGAGGGTTTACAACCACTTTAATGCAAAGAATGCAGTGAGGTAAAAAAAATTTCACCTTCAGAATCAATTGAATACATCATTATCTATTTTCTATATGCAAGCAGTGTAATTGCCTAAAAAGATATAGTATCAGCCAATTGCAGTCCCTGTACAGCAGAGCTGGAGTGTGAGATGAGAAGTAGCACAAGGAGCTAATCACTTCGTGTGCTGACAAAAGCATGCTGATAGGAGGAGAAAACACAGTGACAGAGATTAGCTCATCACTGTGCTGCTTCCAGGATGACTTTTGATCAGAGGAAGTTGGTTGGTCGATCTTGGCCATCAAAATGCGGATTTCTTTAGTTGGGAAAAAAGTATTGGGGAGGGAGAGCTTTGGACTGAAAGTAAATTATTGCAACAAAAGTATTTTTTTTATTTTAATGGATTGTTAATTTTTAATTTTGTTATTTTTTTCTGCTGGAGTTCTGCCTAAAATAATTAGTATAGGTGTAGCATCATCAAAGCAGCCACTGTTGAAGTTCTCTATTTAAGCATCTATGGCTGGTTCTCTCTGGTAAGCAGTACCTCTGCTTGTCTGGTCTCCCAGCCCACTGGCTATTCCATGCACACAACCTTGGACTTCCTGAATGCACACAGCCTTGGACTTCTTGAATGCACACAGCCTTGGACTTCTTGAATGCACACAGCCTTGGACTTCTTGAATGCACACAGCCTTGGACTTGCTGAATGCACACAGCCTTGGACTTGCTGAATGCACACAGCCTTGGACTTGCTGAATGCACACAGCCTTGGACTTCTTGAATGCACACAGCCTTGGACTTCTTGAATGCACACAGCCTTGGACTTGCTGAATGCACATAGCCTTGGACTTGCTGAATGCACACAGCCTTGGACTTGCTGAATGCACACAGCCTTGGACTTGCTGAATGCACACAGCACCTGGTTACACACCCTGATGGTTTTCCACACCTGGACACTGAGTTTGAAATTTGTTCCCACCCTAAGCACTTTAAAATCTCCAAACTATGGAGCCCAATCCAGGAATACCAAAATCCAGAGAAAGCTGCAAAAGCAGTTTTCTCCACTCAAAATCTTTGCTCCATAGTGCTGCACTCAGCAAAAATGCGCAAACCCTGTGTCCTTTTCCTGACCATTTCTACCTATATTTGCCCAGTGATATATTTGGGTCTTGCACTTTTACAGTGCCTATGACCAGGCAGGGGGCCTCTGCGGTGCTACTCTGCTTCTGTTGCTATGGGAGACAGACCGCTCACGGAGATGGAGCCAACAATAACTTCCTCATTACTAGAGGACATCCCACCTGTCACAGATACACGCTTCACAACAGACTTGTACTGGCTGTAGACTTCTGTTACCTCTGATGACCACTTGCGTTACACCTCTTTAGTAATTTCAGACCAGGCAAAGGCAAAGTTTCAAAAGTTTTATTGAAAGCTCCGAACATTAAAGCTTCAAACAGTCCTCTCCTAACATCCGTAA